TGTGTGTGTGTGTGTGTGTGTGTGTGTGAGTGTGTGTGAGATAATGTTCAGCTACGATCACACCAAGTTTCAGCTCAGGATCTGTAAAAATAACTGTTACAGTCCCAAGTTTGTTGGTTGTGGCGGCTATCTTGAATCCGTTTGGCTCCAAAAGTTCATCAGTCGTAGACGAATATTCGGTGATTATTACTTTTTCATCAAAAGTCCATTCACAAGTTCATGAGAAGTTTTCCTAACAAACAGATACAACCCATTCATCTTTACTGGCAGGTGRTAAGAAACAAAATGAGCATTTTAATGATCAAAAAAACATTTTTTGAACCTGAACATCTTTAAAGAACATCTGAAGCCATTTTTAAATATATATTATAAAAAGTTTAATAAAAGTGTTTGATTTTAATGCAGTTTTAATGTTTCAAATCCAAGTTTAAAGTGTAAACGAAGGACTAAGATCAGCAGTTTTATGTTTGCAGGTGGAAGATCCTGTCAGAAGCCACACCTGACGGCAGTGGGAGCAGCTGTAGTGTTGGCAGTAATAATCCTGGTTAACGCTCTGATTTTAAACTTTGTTTTATCTGGTGAGGAGAAACATCAACCTTACAATATGTCCGCCTGTAAGTTAATATGACAACTTAATATTAATRTGTGGGAGGTGAAGTGTACTACAGAATAAAGCAAGATGAAAYGGAGCTGTCAGACTGACGTGTAGAACCCAACCGTTAAAACCTAAAAATGGTCCTGAATCAAACAGGAAGCAAGTACTGCTGTGAGGCCATCACACTTTCCTGTTTCACTGCAAGTAGCTGCAGTTTTTTATTTTTAACAGACAAGTTAAAGTCTGGAGAGGCTATAGTTGGAAGAGAATAATAAACAATCTTTAATTTTCACAGAACAAAGTCTTTTGTAAAAGATCTAAATGAATAATCAATGGAAGCAGATCAGGACCGACAACAGAACCTTGAGGAACTCCATGAGGYTCTCGTCTAAAACTGTAAAATGATTTCACCAGCTACACAAAGAGCCACACCAGAAAAGGGCCAGATTTTGACACCATCTGGAGAGGACCATCTGGAAAAAGTGCATCAGTGTAAACGAGAGAACCAAGACCTGAATCTGATGCTGCAGACGGTCATTAAGGGTGAGTTTGCAGAAAACAGCTGGGCAGCATATCCATGTGCATCTCCATAGAGGGAGTGGGTGGTAGTGAAACCTCTGCTCCTGTGTCTCTGGGTGCAGACTCCAGGTGCAGTTTGTGTCCCACCGGCTGGCGCTGGTGGAGGAGCCACTGCTACTTCTTCTCCATCCAGCAGGAAGAAGACCTGAAGTGGAAYGAGAGCGCCGAGTTCTGTCAGCGACACAGCAGCAGCCTGGTGGTGATCRAAGACTCTGCAGAGATGGTGACAAACCTTATTAAAATAAAACTGCTTTTACCTCAGTGACTTTGACTAATATTAAGTTAAATCATCTGTTAGCAGCTGAGAGTTATGGTTCTCTCAAATGTAGGATTTTCTTCAAAGAGAGATGAGTGAATTCCCCCGTTTTCCTTTCCCATGGGTCGGACTGACGGACTGCCAGGAGGAGGGACAGTGGCTGTGGTGGGACGGGACGGATGTCCAACATTACTTACCGTAAGTCCTGAGAACAGATCACTTATTTAGAGGGAAAACCCCTCAAACTAGAAATGTTCGTTGCTTCTAAGAATGAAAATCACATTTTAAGTAGTTCAGTGCACAGTACACAGCACAAACAGGAGTGTTAAAATTTCAGTGTTAAACTTTTGGGTGTTGATTTAACACCCCCTAGTGTTATTTTAACACTTTCTGAGTAAATGGTCACCCATTGTTGGTGTTAATTCACAGTGTTGATTTCCTCAGTGTCTTCTCACACTGGACAGTGTTAAATAAGCCCCACCCACAGTTAAGTCTTATAT